CGACGGTTGTAAAACCGAGAGCGGCGTTTACGTACGGTAGTTTGCAAGGCGAAAAAAAAAAAGCACCGGTGCTCCCTGTAGAAGGGATTGACGGATAAATGAGGACTGAGCAGGAACGTGAACCGCCCAGGACGCCCGCTTTGTGCTTCTCCAGGCCGAGAAGGGCTGCCCCCCTCCCGTCCAGCGACACGTCAGTGCCAAAGTCACGCCCATGGGCCCGCCCCCGCCCCCCAAGCCGAAGCAAAACAAGGACAGCGTGTTCATGGAGAGGCTGCATGCCGTTGACGAGGAACTGGCCTCCAGCCCCGTCTGCATGGATTCCTACCAGGTAAGAACTGGCAAATGCACCTGCTGAAAAAGGCCCACCTTCCAGGTCCATCTCTTACCCGCTCCCTGGGAAACACCCCTTGGGTCCTACAGGAATGTTTGTGATTTTGATAGGTTTTTTATCCCGCTTTTGTCACTTTGTAAGGAAGTCAAGGGGGCGGGCGTACCGAATACTTCTTCCTTCTCCGGTTTTCCCCACAACAATAACAACTCTTTGGAGGTGGGTTGGGTGGAGAGGGAGGGGTTGGCCCCCAAAATCACCCAGCCAGCTTTCGCGGCTAAAGGGGAACTAGAACTCACCGTCTCCTGGTGATCGGCCCAAAGCCACCCAGGTGGCTTTCGTGCCTAAGGCGGGACTAGAACTCATTTTCTCCTGGTGATCGGCCCAAAGCCACCCAGATGGCTTCCATGCCTAAGGCGGGACTAGAACTCACCGTCTCCTGGTGATCGGCCCAAAGTCACTCTGATGGTTTTCATGCCTAAGGCAGGACTAGAATTCACCGTCTCCTGGTGATCGGGTCAACGTCACCCAAGATGGTTTTCATGCGTAAGACGGGACTAGAACTCACCGTCTCCTGGCGATTGGTCCCACAGTCACCCAGCTGGCTTTCATGCATAAGGCAGGACTAGAACTCAGCGTCTCCTGGCGATCGGCCCAAAGTCACCCAGCTGATTTTCCTGCTTAAGGTGGGACTACAACTCGCAGCCTCTGGAGGATTGGCTAAAAGGCAACTGGCTGGCTTTCCTGTCTAAGGCAGGATTAGAACTCGAGTCTTTACCTGATTATTAGTTGCGAACGGGAAGTGCTTCAGCTGCCGGAATTCTTCTCACCACCTTCCCTTCCCAGCCTTTGGAAGACAGCTTAATTGCCTTCCGCACGCGCTCCAAGCGGCCGCTGAAGGACGTGCCTCTCGGTCAGTTGGAGGCCGAGCTTCGCGCTCCGGACATCACGCCGGACATGTACGACCCCAACACAGCAGACGACGAGGAGTGGAAGAGGTGGCTGGGCGGCTTGATGAACGCCGACGTGGAAAACGAAGGCAAGGAGGGTTGTCTGAATTCGACTT